GGTGCTGCTGCCCAGGCTCTCCGGCTGCGGCACCGCAGCCCCCTGCGCTCCGGGGACGGGGTTCCCCTGCCAGGGAGCCTCCGAGCTCTCCACCAGCGCACAGACAGCAGTGCCAGCAGGGGCATCCACCCACCACAGCTCCTCTCCAGCTCCACAGCAGCGCTGCGCATTCCTGAGATGCTCATGCATGGGAATATGGCAGCGCTGGGTGGATGGTTCGTCTCCCCGATCTTCGAGGTTCTTTTCCAAATAAACGATTCTGTGATGGCTCACGGATCCCTGTAACCAGCCTGGCACAGTGCCTGTGGTGGGGAAGGGGTGAGCTCAGCACGGGCTCAAAGTGAAGGAGAACACCCTGATCACTTCTCAAAAAGGAGAGCATCCTGATCACTTCTCCAAGCGAAGGAGATCATTCTGATCACTTCTCAAAGTGAAGATCACCCTGATCACTTGGCAAATTGAAGGAGATCACCCATATCACTTCTCAAAGCGAAAGAGATCATCACCCTGATCACTTCTCAAAGGGAAGGAGATCACCCTGATCACTTCTCAAAGTGAAGATCATCACCCTGATCACCTCTCCAAGTAAAGGAGATCACCCTGATCACTTGTCAAAGGGAAGGAGATCATCACCCTGATCACTTCTCAAATGAAGATCACCCTGATCACTTCCGTGTGTCTCCAAGGGGGAACAGAATCTAGAATGATTTGGGTAGGAAGGGACCTTAAAGCTCATCCAGTTCCACCCTTGCCATGGGCAGGGACATTTTCCACTGTCCCAGGTTGCTCCAAGCCTTGTCCAGCCTGGCCTTGGACACTTCTAGGGACAGGACAGCCACAGCTTCTTCTCTGAGCAAAGAAAGGATCTACTGTGTGAGAGAGAATTCAACCTATGTGTCTTGTAGGATGGTGATGAATGGATAAAATAAAGCAAATGCCCCCTGGTCGCTGACTGGGTGTTCCAGGGACAGATGCTGAAAGTTTCAAATGCTATGTGAGGCTGGATGGGGACACTTTGGACAAGTGGTTTCTCCAAGAATACTGATGTTTTTGTAAAGCCACTCTTCATACAGAGCCTTAGGAGCTTCCCACAGCCCACAAACCCCAGGCCTCCCACCAAGGCCATGCCTAGGTTCCAAGGAGAAGATCCCATATCAAACCAGGATCTGGCCAAGGACAAAGCTCAACTTCTAACTGCCTCTCCAGGCAAAGTGAGCTTGAAAACCCCTGGCCTGCAGCCTGCCTGTCTGCCCTCTTCCTCCATTGAAAGAACAGGTGAGAAAAGCCAAGCTCTGGCTGAGCAAGGCCCCTCTGGAGCCACCCTCAGAGCAAGCCTATTAGATACCAAAAAAGGATCTCCAACACCAGAGGTTTTTGCTTCAGAACAAGTTCACCTGATCCAACCCACTCCATATTTCACCATTTCCTAGCTCCCAGAAGGATGAATGGCAAGGGGAAGCACGGCATCCCTGGGGATGAGCTCTGCTGTTCATTTTCAGCTTGGAGACCTGGCCATGTCTCTAACACACCTGTCTCACAGAGGGAGATCCCCCAGCACCTGACCTGCTGACCAAGCTTGGAGGGATCCAATCTGATCTGATCTCAGGGATCTGACCTGAAGATCCCTCAAGACAGGGATCCTGGTGAAGCACCACACCAGGAGAGGAGTCTGTGTGAGCCCATCCCAGGCAGACTTTGCAAAGAAACCCAGATTCATTCAACATCCCCGTGCCAGCCCAATTGGGTTCAATCTGCCAGATTATTTTGGCATGGGGAGAACTGTTTGGGGCCCAAACTTCCATCCCAGCTGTGGGTGGAGAACCTCCCCATGTTGGGCCCTGCACACAAGTGTGTGGGTGCCCCCCATCCCCTGCATGTTGCATCCTGCATTTCTCTGCTTTGAACCCACCCCTGGCTGCAGCAGGGGTGTTTGCCTTCCCTCCTCAGTGAGCTCTGGCCCAGGACAGCCCTTCCTGGCTGTGGCATTCACATTCTCTGAAAAAATCCCTTCACCCAGGATTTTTCTCCTGGGAAGCTGAGAAGCCTTGGAGAAAATGAAAACAATTCTGATCTCATTTGCTTCTCCTGTGTTGTGCTCATGTGGAATGTGTTTGGAGATTGTTTACCCACAGGTGATTGTTTTGTTGGATTCTGCTGTGAGTTGTTTTCACTCATTGGCCAATCAGGGCCAAGCTGTGTTGGGACACTGGAGAGAGCCACAAGTTTTCATTATTATCTTTTAACATTCAGCAAGTATCCTTTCTGTATTCTTTACTATAGTGTATTATACCTTAAAGCTCATCCAGTTCCACCCTTGCCATGGGCAGGGACACCTTCCACTATTCCAGGCTGCTCCAAGCCCCATCCAGCCTGGCCTTGGACACTTGCAGGGATCCAGGGGCAGCCAGTTTCTTCTCTGAGCCACAGTTTCTTCTCTTCCTTCTGTATTCTTTAGTATAGTATATTATACTGTAATATAGTATAATAAAGTAATAATTTAGCCTTGTAAGAACATGGAGTCAGATGCATCATTCTCTCCCCCTGTTGGTGGACCCACATTTTCCAATGCCTGGCCACCCCCTGCAGTCCCTCCAGGCAGGGACACCCAGCTCTGGTCAGAGCTGTGACAGAGCCCCAGCCTCATCCCCCCCTCAGGATGGAGCATGGAGGAAGGGGACTGAGGCCAGGACTTGGCAGGGACATGACCAGACAGACGTGCTCCCAAATCCCTGCTGAGAGCTCCCCCCCACACACACACACTGCTCCCTCCAGCAACTCCCCTGTAATAACCCACGGGCCGTGGCACTGCCATTCATTATCTATTAACACACCCCATCACCTCAGCTACTGCCCAGTGCCCTCTCAGGGCTGTGAGCCACCTTCAAAGCCACCTGGCTGGTTCTCCTGGGGCTCTTACACCCCCTGCCCAGGGAGAAGCCCCATGGAGAGGCAAAAGATCACCAGGATTGAAAGGCACAGATCTCCCAGCCATCCCACGCTCCTGTGGGGCCATGAGAGCACCAAGCAGGACCACCAAGTGTCAGATGGCTTCAACAATTCCCTCCTCAGTGATGGTTTCCTCCCTGCAGCACCAGGGAGCCTGGCACAGCACTTCTGGTGCCCAAGACATCAGGTGGCACCTGGCAGCAGGAGAGGGGGCATCAGGAGCCCTTGCAATGCCACATCCAAGACAATCCCAGTCTCAGCAGCATGGCTGGCACTGGGAAGGGACATTTCAGATCTCTGCTGCTTCTCCTTTCCATCCTCACGGGGGTAAAACACACAGAGCATCCTCACCAGGAAGGCACCTGGCACAGAGCTTCCCTGCTGCATCCATCCCAGAGCAGAACAGCACCTTCCATTCAAGACAGCATCCCAGAAAGGCAAAAAAAAAGCTGGCAGGGAGCCCAGGGCTGGCTCTGCCCCCGAGCTGCAGCCGTTTCATGTGGCTCCAACGCCTCTCACACTTTCAAAGGCACACCAAGCCAGTTAATGGATGTCTCCCAGCCCACTGTGTGTGTTCTGACACAGCCCCTCTGCCAAGGAAAAACAACAGCAAGCGTGTGTAGATGGGTGTATATACAAAAGCTTGACAGAGGATGTTGCTTGCATTTTTACAGCTTTGTTGGAGGGTTTGGTTGGGGTTCTTTTTTTAATATAAAAGCCTAAAGCAAATACAATCCAGAGAAAAGGATTTAAAAAAAAAAAAATCTTTAATACTTTCCTACATGCATGACACCTGAAGAGCTCTGACACTCCCCAAGGAACATGTTTTATAGTAAGTGTTTCAGGCTGAAAAAAGACAACTGCTCAGAAAAACATTGCTACTGGCCACTACTGCACATCCTGCCAACATGAGTGCTCATTCAGGGACACAATTAAATCTTTCAGGGAAGTCTATCCCAGGAGCTACACACCTATTTGCCAAAAAGAACTAAAACTTCAGGTGTTCCCCACCTGCAGGAGCTGAACCCTCCTGCTCTATGCAAGGATTCAGTTTGTTGCAGAATAATGAAGTTTTAGTTCTTTTTGGCAAATAGAAGCAGGGAATCTAACCTTTAAACCTTCCACAGAATCCCAGAATGGTGTGGGTTGGAAGAGACCTTAAAGCTCATCCCACTCCATTCCTTGCCATGGGCAGGGACACTTTCCACTATCCCAGGTTGCTCCAAGCCCTGGCCTTGGACATTTCCAGGGATGGGGCAGCCACAGCTGCTCTGGGCAGCCTGTGCCAGGGCCTCACCTCCCTCATTCCTTCCTAAATGATCACAAAGAACAATGAATTTCAATGCACACAAATGCTCACCCTCTGCCTGCAGCTGAGTAAACAGCCACCAGGGTAGGACAGTTCTCACCCCAACACCAAGTTTCAGTGCTCTGAGGTGAACTTCTGCCATCTTTAAGACTGAGAGGTAGATATTGTCACTGGCTGGCTTCAAGTGCCCATCAGCAACCCCACTGCATGTCAGTCACTTAAAAAGAAAGTTTTTTTTTTACTTTTGAACAGAGATTTGAGGACTATGGGAGCTCTGAGTAGGAACTGGGCATCTGAGAAACCTGCTTGAGTGGAAGTTGTCCCTGTTTGTGGCAGGGGGCTGGAACTAGATGGTCTTTAGGGTTTGTTCCCATCCAAACCTTTCAGTCATCTACGTGTTCTCCTCAGATCCAAGTGCTGATACCAGCACATTCTGAATGAAGTCACCTGTTGCATGTTCACAAGAACTTCTAGGCCAGACACATGGATATAATGACATAAACTACACCACATCTGCCCACCATCAGATTTTTATAGTTTTCTTTTAATTACCCAGCCACTGCCAGCATTAGAGACAAGACATTTGCCTGGAAAGTCCATGCAATCATGTCAGCTCTTTCACTGCTAAAGTATGCCATGTTTTAGCTGGGTTAGAATGAACCCTTCCACCCCTTTGGAGCAGGACTCTTGGCTGTGTGGTTACTCATATACAACACCCACTGCAATACATTTGTGTACAACTATAAAAGGAGAAAATATAAGCACTTTATTTTCAGTATACAGACTAAATCCCACCATAAAATCAAGATAATGAGCAAGCACACATGAATAAAACACTCAGCACTTAAGCAAACCCCACTTTTGCCACATCTGTGTTTCTGCAGTGGCTCCTGCAGCTCTCCAGGGTTGTTCCCAAAGGTGGCTGCAGTACTCCCAGGAACAATCCTCTCTCTACTCCAGAAAACACTCCCAGTTTGCATAAAGTGCTACATTTTCCTGTATGCCTTGAAATACTAGTTAGGTACAACACTATTTCATCATCTCTGCTCCCAAACTATGTCCAGTCCCACTTCCACCCTGACATCAAAGCCACAATTATTTCTACAAGGAGGTAAAATCAGCAGGTTGTAGCAATACAACTCTTCAGAGGTGCACAACAATGGCAAAGTGTGATCTGCAGCACAGACAGCAAGACAGAAATGCTGAACAGTTCTACCACACACATGCACACGATCACCTCTGTAAAGCTTTCTTCATGGTGTGACTCCTTCCACATCACACTTTTTCACATTAAAAAAAAAACAACAGCCCTTGTCAAATTTAGCCCATTTAAAGCTGCCAACAAAATTGGATTCCATGTGCTATCAATGGGCATGTTATTGCTTGTAGTAAATTGGAGAAATTTGGACCTACACATGAGATTGGCTTGCAAAGCAGAAAGGTCAGCAGAGGCCCCTCAGCAGTTTTAGGAACTGACCAGCTGGTATTTCCTGCACCCTGGCTACAACACTGCAGATGTCCAAAGCACACCTGGTACCATCCTCCAGCAAACAGCCCATCCTCTCTGGCTCCTATTTAATACACAAGAGCACTCAGGTGATTTTTCTAAGTCCATCATGCTCACCTTGGCTCGTTCACCTGAAAATGGGGGACAGGTGTAACTGCAGAGCAGTGCCAAATCCTCTCAACACTCACATGTCACCAGAGCAAGCTGGTACTCTTGCAGAGCTGTGAACATGCCCAGCAGAGCAAAAACATCCTCACTGGATTTTGCAACTGCCCATGACCTACCTCACCCAGGTGACCTTGCACAATGCAGCCTTTACACCTTGTGCCTCTGAGTGTGAAGTTTACAACTGAGTGTCCTCAAGGAGCAGCTCTTGGGATTTCTGCCAAGCCAGCACTGACTCAAAGGCTCAGTACAAACTCACAGTGGTACATGGGAACACCAGGCCATTCCAGACCCCAACCAGCCCTCACAGCTCACTCCCTGAAGTTCCTTTCTTTGCTAACACACCTTGACTACAGCTCTGCTCTACAGCCTCTCCTGCTAACTAAACTCTTCAAATCAGCTCTGACTGCAACTGCTGCCCTTAACCTAACAAGTACAGAATGGATAGAGTAATTCCTGTCTACTGCTGCTCCAGATGCAATGCTACCTATAAAAACACAACTAATTCTGCCAGCAGATGATCCAAACCAGCACTGCTCTCCAACAGCAGATGGGTGAGGGAGGGCTGCAGATTGCCAAATCTCCAGGCTTTCCACACCACAAAGGAAGGTAGCAACAAGCAGCCTTTGAAACAGCATTGTCTCTGTATTTTTCTCTACCATTAAATCCCTTTTCCACACAATTTAGTGAGTGAACTAGAGGCTTCTCTGGAGCAGTGGAAGAAAAGAGATGGTAAATAAATAACAAATTATAAGAACTAGGCCAATAGTTTTACAAAGTTTTCCTTTTTGGTACCAGCACTGAGCACTGCTCGTTTCCAGGTGGAGAGAAATACAAAACACTTCAGTCTCTCTGTGAGCTTAAAGTCCAAGTGACTTCTGCACAATCTGCTTGGCAATTTTGTTAAATTGTTCTCTGTCTTCCCGCCACATCTTGGAGGCGTCTACGTTGGCTCCACTTTCATCATTTGGCTCTGAAACAAGAAAGACAAAGGTAGGTGGGCAATGGAGCTTCTTGCTTCCTCAGGAATGCCACTTCCCCAGGGCTTTCCAATACTTCTCCTCCTTGAGGCTGCAGAAACACCACTACAGTAAATCCAGTGACAGCTCCTGCATTCCCAGAAGGCTCTGATTTGACCGACCACGAGAGAAAGGATATCACAACAAGTTTGAGTTTAGGCAAGAAACAAGGGGCACAGGGGCAGCAGGACTTTCTTTTGTTTGTGCTTTCAGCAGTGGAGCCCCACCATGCACATGGCCAACACAATGTGGCACCCCCAGTACTGTCAAGGGCTTTTAAAACCGTGTGTTTCTCCCTGCATGACATTTTTTTTCCTTATTCTCCAGCTTCCCAGACACAAAGCCCCTCCAAGGAGGGACCCAAACAGGCTGTCCCTTGTTGGGATGGTTTGGTCTATTAGAAACCCACAAAATAATCCAAGGAAACCCATGGAATATGCTTTCACTTCTGCAACATCTTTCATCAGATGATTTCAGAATGCTTTATGAAGCACAGGGAGGTCTCCATTTTTTATGGAGGTAAGCTGAAACCCAGGGTTTACAAGATCTGTGGGCAGCAGGACACTGTCCTGGGGCTCCAGAAGGCACTACCATCCTCTGCTCACCTCCCTTGACACAGAGTCACACCCACCCCAGCCCAGTTCATGGCAGTATCTGGGTTCCATCCTTCTCCACGTGGAATATGCCCCACTCTGCCATCTCTGGTTCAGAGGAAGGCTTCTTGAGAAGAGACCTGGGGTGAAAAACTTTTTGTGGAGCCTTTCAAATGGTGCACCTTAAAAGCCAGCAGGTGTGCAGGTCCTCCAGCCTGGTGAACCTGGGCTTACACTACCTGCACAGCCAGGGCTCAGAGGTTTCCAGTGCCCTGAAAGAAGCTGGCCACTGGTGTTTTAGCCTAATTTCTCCAAAAGACATGGGAAAACAGGATGCAGAGAAGGAGACCAGGTGACTCCCACACCTCCCAGTCCAGGTGAGGCTGCACCACAAACCAAGCTCTTGGAAGCCATGGGAATCCCATGGGTACTGCTTGTCTGCACAGCTTCCCAACTGCAGGTTACTATTCCAAAGCTGAAACAGTCCCATGCAGGAATCTGCTGCTTGCTCTTTGGTCAACTTTGCAGCTTCTAAACCCATTTATCCTTCACAACCAGTTCTAAGGGACATGGCTCTGCCCTCTTCAGGCAGTTCAGTGGCTCTGTCCACTGTGTGGAAAATGATCCATCTTTCAGAGAGCTGTACATGAGAGAGCTGATCCACAGCCCTTGTTAGATTTATGAAAAACCATTTGAATGGCTCCACAAAAAGTTTTTCACCCCAGGTCTCTTCTCAAGAAGCCTTCCTCTGAACCAGAGATGGCAGAGTGGGGCACATTCCCAGGCTAGGAACAACAAAGGGAAACAGAGTGTGCTGGCTTCTGAACCAGAGGCCATGGGCTCCAGTTTACTGTACTGGTTTGGTCTGATAACCCTTCAGCTGCCAAAGCCAAATCCAACACAGCTTTAAAACATAAAGAACAGCACAGCAAATACAGAGAGGGCTTTGTCCAGCTGAGCCTCTGGGACCACCTGACCCATCACTACTTCCCAGCCTGGAAGGAAAGCCTTGCAGTAACCCCCATTACTAATTCAGTTGCATTTTTCCCAACCCTTCTCAGAACACTGGTTCACTAATAAATAAATAAACCCCAAGGCTTTAAGAACTGTGGCTGCTGCTGAGCAGCTTTCCACATGCTTTGCTCAGTGAACAAAGCAAAAAGCAAGAGGCTACACTCAGGGAGGGCTGCCAGGACAGCAGGGCTCACCTGCCAGCATGCTGACAACAGACAAGAGGATCTTCTCCACGCTCTGCACGGGGCTCCACCGCTCCGCGCTGCTCTCGTAGCCCATGGGGTCATCCCCAGGAGCGTGAAGGATGGAGATGCACACTCTCCCATCTGGGTAAACTGCACAAAAAGCACACAGGATTGCTTGTTACTTGCTGGAAATGCTCAGCATCTCCATCTCTTAGGCACAGATCAGCCTTAAGACTTAGCTCTTCTATGATTAAAACTAAGTTGAGGTTTAAATTTCCTCTATAAGCAAGAGGACACAAAGTATGATAAACAAAACCCCAGGGCAAATCTTCTTTAAGCAACTCCTTCCCCAAATGCCTGCTGGGAGCACTTGTGTCATTTAATAACCAGTGGAAGGCTCCATGGAAAAAATGAGTGATGGAGCCTGGTGGAATAAGGCAAGAATTTATGCACAGACACAGCTCCAAGCAGGTAACCAGTCCCACTTAAATGGAAATGAATGCACTGAATGCACATTGGAGTCCTCCACTGGACTGTGACCATGAAAAGGATTACACAAAGGAGGGAAAAGTGTTATGTTATATGTATTATAAACATGAGAAAAAAATAAAGTGTTATGTTAAATGTATTATGAACAGTAGAACTGATCTTTTTTTGAGTATTACTGTGGTGCAATCAGAAGAATTCCCACTACTATTTTTTTTTTTTTTGCTTAAAGCTCAGCTGCATTAAAGCACCTGGAAACAAGGAAACCTATGAATTAAGGATCCAGGTGCTTCCCCTCCCACCTTTAGCACAAGCAACAGTACAAGTTGTCTTCACAGAGACTGGACTCCACTGACTTGGTAATGAAACCAAACAAAGGTTGAAGAGGCACCTCAAAAGAAAACACTGCTCTACCAACATGGCCTAATTCTCCTGCATGGCAGGCTCCTGAGGAATGACAACCTTAGCACAATAATTTCAGGGCTCCTATTCCTCAGGTGACCAAGCTGGTGCCATTGCCAGGAAAGCAAGACAAAACAAAAAGTGGGAATGACTGCTGGAAGCAGCTGTGCTCATTTCCAGCTCCTTCCATTCAGCCAGCTATGCCCAAGCACGTAAGCACTGTGGAGCACTTCAATTTACAGTCCTTCCTGCAGCCCCAGGCTGGGGACTGGAGCTGCTCTAAACCATAGCTGGAAGAGGTGAAAACAGCAGGGCAGGTGCTGAATCAGCACTTCCTGCAAGTCAGGAACCCACTGGCAGAAGGGATTTCACTCCTGCTCCTGTGCAGTGCCTCATTTAAAACAGCTGGAACACAGCAGCACAGTCAAGACATCAAAGGCTGATTGCAGGAAGATGTATGGAGCTGCTGTGCCTCTGCTCAGGTGAGACCCACCCCTGTCCAGCTGTGGGGCCCCAGCCTAAGGACGTGGAGCTGTTGGAACGAGTCCAAAGGAGGCCACAGAGAGATGCCCCAGAAACAGGCTGGGAGTGCTCAGCCCGGGAAACAGAAAGCTCCAGGAGAGTCCCTGCCAGTGCCTAAAGGGGCTCCAGGAGAGCTGGAGAGGGACTGGGGACAAGGGGCAATGGCTGCACACTGCCAGAGGGGATATTGGGAAGGAACTGCTCCCTGTGAGGGTGCTGAGGCCCTGGCACAGGGTGCCCAGAGCAGCTGTGGCTGCCCCTGGATCCCTGGCAGTGTCCAAGGCCAGGCTGGACAGGGCTTGAGCAGCCTGGGATAGGGGAAGGTGTCCCTGTCCATGGCAAGGGGTAGGACAGGATGGGTTTTAATGTCCCTTCCAACAATACTCCCCAAACCACCTGTGATCCTGTGATCTCCCCACACTGATGCTCAGTGCCAATGCAAGCAATGCCATTGATCACTATTCAGTTACTTTTGCCAGAGTATCCAAGGTCATTTTAATATAAGAGAAGACAGAAGTTCTGTGATATCCCAATTCACCCTTCACATAAGATAAACTGCAAAGATGAGGGGACACAGCAGACTTTTTAAACATTTTCCTTGTGATTTCTCACAGGGGGAGAAATAAACAGAAAAAGCACAGCCCAGCCACCCCTTTCTGGGTAGAAGCAGCCCACCACAACCCCAGCTGAGAAGAAAGATTCAAGTGTCTACTTCAGGTGATCTCAGCTTCAGATTAAGAAGACTCAGAGACTCAGGGCTTTAAAGAGCTGAGCTGACCATCCAGTGTGTTCCAATTATCCCATGGAAGAAACACCCATGTGTAAAGCCACTCTTTAACACTGGAGTCAGGCAATTTGTGCTTCTCCACACCCCACTCCTCCTGGCAGTGCTGCACACAACACAGCTGCAAGCAGTGAACCTCAAGCCAAGGCCACAGCTGGAGCTGCAGGGACAAGGATTTGCTCAGGGAGACCAGTCCTGGCAAGAAGTTTGGGTAAATTAGTCCAGCTGGAGCAAGGTGCTGACATGGCCACACTGCTTCCAAGTGCCAAAGTGCTCCAGAAGTGATGCCACAATGCCTTGGGCATGTCCACACAGTTCTGTGCTGTAACATGCAGGTGTGTCCTCCACAGGAGAATAAAGATGTGGATTAAATGGGCAAGAACCTGCACAGGTGGTGCTTCCAGAAAGGAATAACAGAGAAACTTCAAGAAATTGCAGAATTCCTTGTATATAGGGTGAAATAAATTGATTGCCAGCTGAGATTATGAGCTGTGTTTTCCAAGTGCAAGAATGTCAGCTGAAGAGGCAGCACTAGGCAGGAGCACAGCATTTGCCTTTTCCTTAAGGAACCTTAAGGGTTTTTAAAAAAAACTTAAGGTTTTCTTCATGTCCAGGGCTCAAACTTGTTAACTGTATTTCTTGTCACTGCAATTACTCCCACTGAAGAGTCTTCAGGAAATATTGTCACCATCACAGATTCACTAAGGCCGGAAAAGGTCTCTAACTCAATCAGTACCACAGAGCAAATGCCAGCAAAGCCTTAATATTAAACACCTGTAAATGTGTTGTCTGCTTGGACAGAGCACTGTATTTCAGAGAGATCCCTCAGAAATGTTAAACCCGTGATTTCATGGGCCAAAAGCCATGCTGCCTAAGAAAGCTGGACCCATGAACAACCTTTCAGTCATCAAAATAACACAAAAATACCTAAATACAAGCCATAGAGCAAGACTGAGCTCATGGTGTGTTGGGACAATGCTCTCAGGCACATGGTGGGATTCTTGAGGTGTCCTGCATAGGGCCAGGGGTTGAACACCATGATCCTGATGGGACCCTTCAAACTCAGCATATTCTATGATTCTGTGTCTGGAAAGAGCCTCCATTAATTCACTAAGTCTCACATCCTGTACAGAAGATTTAAAGGCATGGAATTTGCTGGAATCCTTTTTGGATGAGCAAAAATTTTATGAGGAATAATGGGATAAAGATAAAAGGACCTTAAGACAGAGCAAAACTGCTGGGCAGCTGAATGCTCGTGCTGCCTGCTCAAGGTTGGGAAGGGAGAGAAGCACCCTTGGGAAGGATGCCAGATCTTCTGCTGCAAAAGTTTCTTTTTAAGCTGCACAAGCAACCCTTCCCCATGGTCATCCTGCTGCATCAGACTCACTGTTGGGATGGAACATCTCACAGGTGAACCTCATCTTGGGAGGGCTCAGCGGGTAATCCAGTGGGAAACTCAGGATAGCAGGGAAAACCCCATACTCAAAACAGGTGTCTTCAGGACCCCTAGAAACAGAGAAAATGTTATTCACCAACCTTTTAAACAGCTCTTTCACCCAAATTCTTGTTTAATGAGACTTGTGAGGCATGGGTTACATCATCTTCTCCAGGAAACAAAGAGTTAAGGTGCTCTTACCCCACACCTCATAAACTTAAATCCAAATATGAGGCTTGGGAGGCAAGGGGGAAATCAAAGCTTGCACGCTAAATTACTAGGAAGGTCACAACACTGTTTAATTAGCAGGGTGTGTCTGGATATAATTGGAGTATCTGGCTCCAAGGCATGTTCCAGGATTTGAGTGTCTGCACGTCAGAAAGCAGAGGCAGGTGTGGGACTCCTGTGCCTTTGAAGATACTGTTATGCTCTGCAAGACAGAGATGTCAAATGCTGGAGCTCAAAATTAATTTATAAATGCCACAGAGATCCCAACTGCCAGTATCTAGGACAACCACACAAACACTTATCACTGTCTGATGCAGAAAGCACAGCAAAGGTTTGTAAAAATAAAAACACAGCTCAGAGACCATAATTGTCAGAAGAGATGCAGGACAACAATGTGTCTTTGCAGGCTTCAGCTACTGAGTTTGCCCTCCCTCGAGTGCAGGTGGAGAACAAATGGCTTCATCAGGGCTCTTGTAGAAACATTTCCTTATTGTGTTCAGAATCTAGTTCAAAGTGCAGCGGAGTTGAGAACATAAAGACAACTATTTTACCCTGCCTACATAAAACACTTGTGGAAAGTGAGCAAAAAACAAGTTATTTGAGAGCAAAAAACGAGTAATAAATCATTAGCCATGATTTATTCAAACTTGATGAACCATCTGGAAGTTGTAACACAAACATGATTTCCCTTGATTGGAAAGATGACGAAAAAAGCTTCAGCACCAAAAACTGTTGCCAGGGAAACCTCATGTATTTAGTAAAAGGCCATTCAAACAAAGGTTCCACTGTCTGGGAAATAAGGGTTAGGAATATATTCATGTTTCCTCCTCCCAGTCCACATTCTCCACACAGAAAGAACATTAAAGTTGGAGAGCAGCAAATCCTAAAGCACTGGAAGACTGTCTCAAACTTGGGGATTCAAAAGACTTGGCTGGCAGATAAACACAAGAACTATGTGATTTAAACATGGATATTGACACTGGCAGGTAAGGTAAGAGAAATGCACCAACATTCTGCAAGAATGAAAGCTAAACTGTCTCAACCACTTTGTTCCCTTTCTGGCCTTTTCCCTAAATTTAGTCAGGATTCAATTCACATCTGAGAGTAAACTGAATGCATTTTTTCCTGACCATTTTAATTCCAGCTGCATTTTAAAGGCTTATTGTTGAAGTTCTGAGAGTATGTACATACAGGCATTGAAAAGCTGGTGGGTGTCTATGTTCTGTTTTGAGAGCAAACCCACAGCCTTAAGGGCTCTTCTGTCAAATACACTCAACCCAACATACTCCATTTTAGGCCCTGTATTATGTGAGCAAAATGCTTTTGTTTTAGCCACTCAGTGCTGCCAGGATCAACTTCAAAGAAATTATTAAAGTTAATCCAAGACAGCATTTGCAGCTACAAAACACTCAGCATTTGAACTTGACAGCATCACTTTTAGCTCACAAAGGACATTGGCAGGGCCAGGGAGGTAAGAGCATGGCAGCTGCTGCAATCACCCCCTGCTCTGCAGTGATTCCAAAGCTGACAAGAAGACAAAGCATGAAAATGAGAAGCTCTGCCCTCCAGGAGCTGGCTGTAACTCATGCAAGGGGCAGAGAAGAGTGGTGGGTATCCTCCAAACAGGAGAGAGAAGTACCTTGAGGAGGACAGCTAATGGGAGTTTGGAGAAAAGGCACCTCAGGGGGGACCTTCTACACCTGCCTGACAGGAGGGTGCAGCCAGCTGGGAGTCAGGTTCTGCTCCCAGAGGACAAGAGACAAATCAAGAAGAAACAGCCTCAAGTTGCAACAGGGGAGGTTTAGGTTGGATATTGAGAAAAATTTCTTCCCTGAAAGGGTTGTTCAGGCTGCCCAGGGCAGTGGTGGGGTCACCATCCCTGAAAGCATTCAAAAACCATGTGAATGTGGCACTTGGGGACATGGTTTAGTGGTGGATTTGTCAGTGCTTGGGGAATGGTTGGATTTGATGTCTTAAGGATCCTGTGATTCTAATTCTATAATCACAGCTTCACATACATTTGCAAATGGCTTATTTGTGAAAAGATGCTGGAAAAACACCAAACCCCACAATCATCAGATGCCCAAAAGGGGAATGGAAACAAAAGTCATAAGCCTAATTATAGATCTAATTACCTTTCTAAACAGCTTTGTGATAAGTTGACTTCAATTTATGCTGTTTAGTTTTCAAGCAATCTTTAGGCTAATAAAGTTCTTAACCATTGCATGCTTTTGTGTCTTTTGGGGATAAACTTTAATAGCAACACACACTCATACATGCCAACCAAAGAGGGCAAAACTTGGCCTTGAAAAGTTAAATCCATGAACACAACACAGCCTGGAGGACCTCACACAACGCTAGGGAATGGAGCAACATAAGGCAAACTCTCCTGAAATGATGTTGCAAAGACCTGGCTTTCAACAATGCTCCCCACCTCTGGTCTTCAGAAAGGTTTTCACATGGGTATTTTCAGTTCTGTGGCCACCACACTCATTTTAGGAGTGTAAGATTTGTTCTCTCCTTTATTTTATTATGGTCTTAACATTCATATATTTCACATTCTTCCAGAATTGCTGCTGCAGACCAGAACACTGGAGATACAAATAATTATTATTTCCATTATTTAAAAATGCATTGCTTTATCTCCAAGTCAAGCTCTTACATCAATCTATGTAACATTACCCAGCCTACTTTTGAATTGATAAATGAGAGATGTCTTTTTTAAAGTTATGTGCCATTATATGTGCTCCAGCTTTATATAAATTGGGTGAAGGAAAGAAAGTATTCTGCTCTTTTCACAATTATGTCTCTTACCATTTGCACTTCATCTGTCTAAAAATTTGAAGGCAGCTTTACTCCCATTTTCTCATCTGCACACCTCATTCCCTGAATCTCACATAGCACATCTGAGATTACAAAACACTGGAGGGAGACCACCACAGACAAACACAAACAAGTCATGTAACTTACTTTCCAAAGGCATTGCAAACACTGCTACTAACAAGATTTGTGAAGAGATGAAAGTAACCAAATGTGTTTGGGGTAAACATGTTTCTATTGTATCACACCTTCAAAATTGAGCAGATCTTAAAATATAACTTTATTATGACACATACACCATATAGAAACCAAAATTAAAGCACCTCCGCCTCTCATTTTACGCTGACAAAGACCTGAAGCTCAACACTCAGCACTTTAAAGGGCTTTCAAGTCTGCAGAGCAGCTCCTCTGTTCTTTAAGGATGTGACAGGAAACATCAGAAAAGGTATTTTCTAGGCAATTCAGGAGTACCTCTGAGCATCCCTCAGGAAACCTCTACTCAGCCACAGCACTTTGCTAGGAGGAAGCACTAATAAGCAGGAATTTCCTTCCATGTTCCAAGAAGTGCATTAAACCCTCTGGGATTTCCACACTGCCAGCAATCACAGCTGTCTGACCTGAAATCTGGCCCATTACAAAGCAGATGTGCTGACTATGCCTCTCACAGAAAGCCCAAAAGACCCTGCAGCCAAAATCTCTGATGTCAGGCAACAGAACAAACCAATTCCCATGCTAAGTGTTTCTTTTCAGGGGACTGAGCTACCAGGAAGCACAACCTGTTATCCCAGGAGAAATCACTGCACATAAGCAGAGGCATTTGCCAACTCTTGCCATCAATGAGCAAAACAAGCAGTGGTAATCAAAACCTCCACTCAGCAAGGTCTAAAATAACTCAGAGCCGTGCAGCAGGATCACCCACACAGGCACTTTGTGTGGAATAGGGAACTCAGCTTTTGGATTGGTTGCACCCCTGAGCCCAAGAGACAGAAATCTTGTTTTTCATCCCTAGACAACACATCCCAAGCAAACCCAGCTAGGAAAACTCTGCCACCCACACCAGCTGAGAATCTCCCCAGTCAGCACTGGTGGGTGCAGGGAAAACCTGCCCAGATCACAGCAGACACAGAGAGAGCAGGGTCACAGCCACTGCCTGCTGTCCCCAGAGCCCTCTGGGACAACCCAGGCCTGGCTGAAGGAAAAGAAATCCCCAATTCTTACCAAAGGAATCCTGAAATACAGAGCCAGGATCCACCCCAACAACAGACCAACAGACCACCAAGTTCAAGATGAGCTCCAGTGGTCTGGAGCTTCTTCATCTTTTAATTGTGCAGTATCTGCATAAATTGTCAGATGTGAATGACAAATGTTTTTTTTGCTCTCCTCTAGCATTTTAGAAGTTTATTTTGTAAAAATCACTGGTTATTCCATGTACTCAAAGTGCCCAAAGGAGGTACAGCTTGAGTATGAGTACAAGAAAGAGAGAAGACAACCTGTAAGATGCTGGGCAAAAAGATTTTGTCTTTTCATGGCAAATTTTGCTACCAACAACCACACCCATGAGCTGGGGAGTGGAAGAGAGAGAACACAGCTTTGTAAAGGAGTTTTCATCAGCCCCAAAACACAGCAGGTCAGGATCACAGCTATTCACCAACAGAAGAGTGAATCTTTTTCTACACAAAACCACTGCATCCAACCCTTGGCAACACCAACTGATTCATGAAGGGTAAAGAACTTCAAAAGAATTTTTACTTTAATTTCAATACTTTTTCTGACCAGAACATTTCAATATTTCAAGAAAAAAAATAAATAGTAAGTAAACTAATTTTAGACATTGATTTTTTTTCTCCTGTCACTAATAATTTGTGTATTTTGCTCCACTCAAAACTTGTCCTGCACTTGCAGTTAGGCAAGGTTCCAACAGGTATGTGTGATCTACAAGCAACTGTTTGTTTCCTACAGTGTTTGTAAATGTACCATATAGCCAAGGGAGCCCAAATGAGGATTCCTGACAAATTTGTGAGCTTGTTATTATGACACCTGTACAACAAGTTGTACACATCACCAATGCTGCCTCTGTCACTCTGTTTAAAGTCCAAATTAAGTCCCTGTTTGGATCAGAGGAGTTTCCAGCCCAATGCAGGCCAATGCTGATGTCATATAGAACTGAAAGTACTTTTTAAATTCCTGCTCTCCTAGAAGCTCATCACAGCAACTGCTGATTTCAGACACCAAACAGAATTTAACTCACATGATCAGGGCTTCCCATTCAAAGAAGTTCTCTTCATTCATGGGACCTGTGAAACAGAACAGAACAATGCTCAGAGCTACCTGAACACAAGGTCACAGCTCCAGAGGGCACAAACCCTGCTCAGCTCCTCACCTGCCACAATCCCTTCTGGTGGGTTCAGGGTCAGCTCTGCAAAAACAGAAACACAAAGAAGATTGAGGTGACTTGTGAGCCCAAGAATTTCAGGGAGTGTGAGAGTGGCCCTGGCTTAGCACAGGGGCCCAACCACCATTGCTTAATGCAGCACAGTGTTCTAGACAAAATGATTTGGCACTTTGGGGTTTTCCAGGCTCCTAGAACTAGCCTTGGAATCACAGAATTGTTTAGGTTGGAAAAGACCTCTAGGATCAAGTCCTCTGTCTTCACAGAGGCAATAATTTAAACCTGAGAAGGAAGCCAAAATCATTTCACAAATCCTGGGAAAAGCTCTACTCTTGCACCCCTGTGGTATCTGCTGGATACCATAACAGCCTGAAGTTTGTATTTCTGTAACCTCTCCAGGTTTGATGCACCTCAGTGCAAAACCCAGAACAACACAAAAACAGCAGAATTCAATCCAACCTCCTGCATGGCCTGGAAAATGTGAGTTTAAAAAAAGCAGCATCAATAAAACAGCCATGGCTGCACAGCAAGTTTGGATCCATCAATCCTCACTTTCTCTAGGAAATTGATACAATTCCAAACTCATGAAACAATCTTCAGCATCAGTCCCTTACTTCAAGCTGGTGAAGGCCAGTACACCATGTGCTGATAAAATAACAACCAGGTTTTCTCTATCTAGGGGACTGACCATCAGTTTCTAGGTTCTGATGTCCTGCAGGGAGGCAGCAGCAGCTGAGGCACAGCTCAGCCACAAACAGGGAACCAATTCCTGGGGGCTCAACACCAACCCCAAGGCTCTGAGTGAGCCAGGGGGCAGCTGCTGCAGCTGGTGGCAGGAGGTGACACTCCCAGCTGCTTATCCAGCACTGTTTCCTCATCAATGACCTCTGGAGCACCTCAGGACACACAGAACACAGCCAGAGACACTTGACCTAATTCCTGTTCAGGCTGTAGGTGAAAGCTGTATGGGCAGTGCTGCACAGAACAGATTTCTGTCTTAAAACAGCTCCTTTAGTGCAGCATTCAAAGAAGATGCTGAGATGCATTGCCAGGAGAGATCTCCAGTTTCCTCAGAGTGCCCTTAACCTTGGCACAGCCCTCTCTGAAGTTCCAAAAGCCAGCAGCAGACTGAAACTCAGCCCTGCTGTTTTCCACACTTCTGACATTCCATGGCAGGCTTTTCCAGCTTCACAGTGGGTCTCCAGTAGCTTTCCTTGTTGATGTTTTTAGACAGAAAGAGGGAGATGTCAAACACAGGAGCTCCTGGAAGCATTTTGCTCCATCTTGTGGTTCTCTCTAAGAAGAAAATCCCTCTGATGTCTCCCTGGAAAAGCTGGCAGCAGTCCCTGTGGTGGGCAGCCACATGGAATTGTGTCATACAGCACTCCAAGGAGAACAGGGGCAATGGGAATGAACAGCCAAAGCCCACAGAGCAAAGGGTCCTCATGAGGACAGAGGTTCCATTCTCCACCTCCTTACTCAGCTCTCCCCTCAGAGAAAGGTTTCCAACCTTGAGGATCAGGTAAAGCAGAATCTGGGCACTCAGGGGCAGAGGAACTTTGATTTTCCATCTTGTGGTTCTCCCTAAGAAGAAAATCCCTCTGGTGTCTCCCTGGAAAAGCTGGCAGCAGTTCCTGTGGTGGGCAGCCACATGGAATTGTGTCATACAGGACAGCACTCCAAGGAGAGCAGGGGCAATGGGAATGAACAGCCAAAGCCCACAGAGCAAAGGGTCCTCATGAGGACAGAGGTTCCATTCTCCACTTCCTTGCTCAGCTCTCCCCTCAGAGAAAGGTTTCCATCCTTGAGGATCAGGTAAAGCAGAGTCTGGGCACTCAGGGGCACAGGAGCTTTGATTTTGAGTGGCTGCACATGATCACTGAGAAAGGTCTCCATGGGGACAGTGACATCCTACCCTGTGACTTCCCCAGAGCTGTTCAAAAGGAAACTGAGAGCCCAGCTGAACATGAAGCACTAGGAGCTGACCCAGCATCAGCTCACCAGAGCCTCCAAAACAGGGTCACTCCAATGGAATGTCAGGGAGGTGTCCAGTTATTTGTAAGTGAGCAGCAGAAAGCAGGGAAAGGCTAAAACCAGTGCTCTGATCACATGCACAGTGACTCTGACAGAGCAGCTAGGCCAAGCAGTCCCACTCAGTGCAGAAATTTTCCATAATAGCCAATCTAAACCTCCCCAGGTGCAACTTTTTATTTGTTCCCTGGGAGCAGAGCCAGATCGTGTGAGCTTAAAACAGAGAGCTGACATCAGACAAGTGTGATGCCTCTATCAGGAATTCAGGGCAAATTTGCTGCACACACAATCAGCCCCTTCCTTTTCATGTCACTGCTCTTTGTGGAGTCATTATCAGCCATTTCCACTGTGGAGATGGTTCTCAGGGGAACTGAAAACACATTTTGTGAAAGCACTGAAGAGACTGAGATCATCCTTAAAAGAGAAGTTCAGCAGCATCCTAAAAACTGCAGAAACCTGCAAGGGGATTAAAAGCCCAGGACTCAGGAAATATTATGGGTATGTGCTCAGTGCAGTATCTGACAGCATCTGGACTGAGAAAAACAGTGAATTTTCTTCTGACTCCACACAATCTCCCCAGGCACTAAGGATGGGAGGTACCCACTGAAGCCCTGCCAGGTTCAGAAGGTTTTTTGTTTCTGTGACTTCCCAAATCTCACAATTCACATAAATCTTTTCTTTTCAACCTGACAGCACTTCCAAAGAAACCTGTTGGCATTACAATCCACTGCCCTGCTGCCTGTTTGTACCAGGAAGGAAACCCAGTGCACACAGTCAGGGACTGCAGTTCTCAGGTCTCTAGAGATTTAATTCTTCCACAGTGACCCATTTTAGACTTGAAATTTCAGCCAGCATAAGATATCTTCCAGATCTGGCATCAAGAAACAGTAAACACAGAAAAATAAGGTTTCCAATTTTTAACTCTCACAAAAATAAGCTACTGAGGGACTTAGGTCAAGCTTTAATACTATTATACATCTAGAATTAACAACAGGCACATGCTCTAATAAAAATGATACCCTTTTTATATCTATTTTTTTTTAAAGCTTTAGCCAAACTAACTCTGGCAGAGTAGAGAGTAAATCTGAGAAAGCAAAAAGTCAAACATGCAAAGATCCAAATCAGGACAAGAAACCAAATCTGTGTCATCTGGATGCCCACAGCTTCCCTTCCTTCTTTAAAAGGAAAGAAAACCAGTGCAATTTCACAGCCTCTCCCAAAATGCAGTAATATATCTGGGCTCCAACAGGTAGAAACTCCTCACAATGTCAAGAATTTTTCACAGAAGGAAACAATCAATCTTTAAATTAAGACTTAAACATGAGTGTGTGGGCATGCACAGAAAAAGATGAAAGACAAAAATTGAAAAAGGAAAAAATGGAAAGAATTAGAAGTCTGGTAAGGAAAATACACCCACCAGCAAGGCACTGACAGCCACACTGACACAACTAGAAGTAACTAAAGGGAAGAGCTGGAGGAGAGGAGGGAAAATGAAGAAAAAAGAAGTGCCCACAACTTTGTAGACAACACATACAAGATTTCACCCAAGGTGAGCAGGCAACAGAGGGTCACTGAAAACCATTCCCATGCCCACATTCACCCAGGGCAGCACACATCATCAGGAGGGAGAAACTTCACACTGAGCTGAACCTCAGACTCCAGCCCTGTCCCAAGGCAGGACTGGCTCCTTCTCTGCAGAAAGAGGCAGCAGAACTACCTCCAACCAGGAGCTATTTTTATTTTTCACTATAACTTCAGCTGAAAATCTCTACAGGGCTGAGGGATTCTGCAGAGCTACAATTAACTGCCAGTCTTTAGAGAGGCACAAGGGAAAGGTTGTAAGTCAGGCTTGATTCTGGGGTTTGTGCTAAAAGAAAATAACAAACATGCAGCAGAGGGGAATCCACAGACACCAAAATGTCTGTTTTACTGCACTGCTGCAGCTCAGGTTTCCAGAAAGCACTGTGCACTCAGCCACTGCCAGTTACATTCATTTTTTACAATACTGTGTTCTATTGGGCATGGGAAAGTGCTTGTAAAGGCAGATCACAGACAAAACATTATCTGTTCCTGCCTAGTGTTACCCTGGGAAACTAGGCAGAGAAGATTCACCTCATGCCTGCCTGTGGCATTAAGTCAAAATCTTTCTGAGATCATTTTATATCATTTTTCCTAAAGATTTTGTTCATACAAGACACTCCAGTAAGATCTCTGTGCTCCTCAACAACAAAGGATCATAAATGCTTTTTTGAGACTTAGGGCATTGATATGAGAGGACAGAAGCAGTGCCAGGACTTTCTGTGGTTGTTTTTCAGGTCACTGCCTCTGGATTACAACAGGAAAATGCAGATTTCTAGGACACACATTGTCAGCACAAAATACAGCCAGCCCAAGCTGGGTGGGGAGCCTTGGCTGCCCAAACACCTGTGTGACAGCTCAGCTTAGAGAGCTGCAGAGCACTCTGAGAGCAGGCACAGTGCTGGCAGAAAATGTGTGTCTATAAATGCTCTCCTTCACACAGGCTGGAGTATTGCACTGAATGATGACAGAAACAAGTCCCTGCCTCTGGACAGAGCACAGGAAGTGACCTTCCCTGGAGCAGAGAGTCTGTTCTTACAGCCCAGCTCCCTCCAGCCCCACCAAACATTTCTTTCCTCCATTCTACTTCCTTGCTGTAAATAAAAGCCAGAGCATTAAAGCCCAAAAGCACCTAGGTACACAAACAAGTATTTCTTGCCAACAAAAGGCACCTCTGGACACGTCTCAAACCCATGAGGGAGCAGATGAGCCATCCCAGAAGCTCTGGGATTCCCAGAGGTCTGGTCTCTGGTCCCTGTGGTGAGCATCAATGCAGCCACCCCCTGCAGCCACATCCCACAGTGGTTTTTAAACAAACAAGTCTAGTCTTTCACTACTAAATTCGAGTTTAAATCCTTTTACTAGCCATTCTGCTTCCATTAAAGATTCCAAAGAATTACAGAATCATTCAAGTTGGAAGGGACATTAAAGTTCATGTCATTTCACCCCTGCCATGGGCAGGGACATCTTCCACTGGCCCAGCTCGCCCCAAGCCCTGTCCCACCTGGCCCTGGACACTCCCAGGGATGGGGCAGCCACAACCAGAAGGATCTGTCCTGACAAACACCTCGACTTATCTTTGCTGTAATAACAGAGCTCTGCAACAGAGATTTCCATACCTGTATTCTGTCCCATCTGGAAAATTTAGCAAGGAAAACATCAAAATAACTGGCCGCTAGCCCAGGGTTCCCAGCCTCCCCGTGGAACAGCGGAATCCCAGAGGTGTCACCCACATACCGAGCTGTCCCCTCGGTGTCCCGGTGGGACACGGGGCAGGACTCCCTTCCCACAGCCCCCTCAGAGCGGGCAGTGCCCCGTACCCGTCCGTGACCCTCAGCCCGCCCCGGGAGCTCTGCACGGAGGCAGAGAGGACCCGAGGCACGGCGAGGCCCGCGGCCCGGCCTGCCCGGCGGCCGTCACGGCCCCGCCCGGCCCGCGGGCCCTGCCGGGCTTTGGGAGCGCTCCCCTTCGGGAGGGCAGCGCCAGGGGCCCAGGGAGCGCCACTCACGCTTGTACTCGGCCATGAGCCGCTTCAGCGCCGTCCCCGCCATGGCGCGGCCCCGCCGCCGCTTCCGGGTGCGCGGCCGGAGCGGCCGCCGGCGGGGCGGGGCGGAGGGCGGCGCTCTATCCGCCCTTATCGCCTCTATGGTAGCGGCCGGTCCTCCAGCCGGCAGCAGGCGGGGGGGGGAAACCTCGGGAATTCCCTGTGGGAAATGTGAAATACAAAGCTGTGTTTCGTGTCAGATACATACAGGCAATGTGTGTATTTGTGATTGTGAGATGTGTGGAGACCGACAATGGGACAGTTGTGAATTCTAATAATAACTGAGGAAAGTAAAGCATGGAAGAAGGCCTTTGAATCTATCTTTTGTTTGCAATTAACCTTGGTTGATTTAGGAGCATTGGAATTAAAGCGTTAAGGATGTTGCTTTTTGCTTGTAGTTAATCCTTACAGAGTTCTGCAATAATAACCTTTTGAAGTATAATTTTAGAATATTGCTTGTATCCTTAAAACTATAGCTTTGGAATATATGTAAAGGAAATATGCTTATCTCATGCCTTAATAAAGCAGAGAAAAACAGCTTGAGAAAGGAGGATGAACATCAACTCAAGGATTTATAGTTTCGACCAAGGGAATCTGGACATCACTGTTGTTAGATTTATAGTCCTTGCAATTAAAAGGTGGACACACATCTGGGGAGCTGGACTTCACCAGATGGGATTCATCTTTCTTCTTTCAGAAACTGGACCACCATCATCTGGGGATGCTCCTTTTGGGATACATCCTGAGAAAAACTAAATCACAATAGTGTATAGAATTGTGATGTAAAACTTGGGAATAGAAACTGCTGAGAAAGCTGATGAGTACCCCTATAAATACCTGTAAGCCTCAACTATGGGTGTGCAGTTGGAGGAAAAACTCCCCCCACTGTACCCAGTGCTGTATTGCTCATACTTTACCATATTAATTAATAAATTGATTGCTGCTTGAATATTGGCCTAGTCAAGCTTCTCCTTTATCACAGCAACAACGGGGAGGATGCAGGAGAATCTGCAAAACGCCCCAGGGAGCAGGGGTAGTGCGGGGAGGATTGGCCGGAGTTGCCCCCACGCCGCCTTTCCTGCACGGAGAGGGGACCCGAGTCCCGGAGGGGATCCACGGGATATCCCACCCCAGCTCACCACCACCCCGGAGAAGGGAACAGGGACCTTTCCAACCAGATTTCAGCAAGAAGGAGCACAGCTAATGTGAACAAATGGAAAGAGAAAAGGCTGGGGATGATTCCATGGAGCAGCAGGACAGCCTGAGTTAAAATTCCTCTGGAATGGGCTTCATGGAGCCCAAACCACCACACAAATAATTAAACCTCAGCAAGGCTGGAGGGGCAGGACAGCCGTTTATTATTATTATTATTATTATTATTATTATTATTATTATTATTATTATTATTATTATTATTTTGAAGACACCTAAATGTCTCTCCACACTTACTAGCTCTTTGCACAGTTTGGTGACATTAAAAGGCATTTTCCCCCTCTCATTTACCAGGTTTATATACCAGAAAAGAGGAATTAAAAAGAAACCTGAGGCCACAGACTTCCAGTGCCCACAGAAAAAGACTCAAAGTTAAGGGAGCAGGGCAAAGGGACAGATGCTGCCCAGTCCTCAGCAAACAGCTGGAATTTCAGTGATGGGATTTTTTTATAACCTTGCACAACAAAAAAACACAGCTACTCTATCACAAGCATTAAGTTTTTAGACCAGCTGTCCTGCTGCTACATCCAGTTCTGCAATAGTGCAAGCCAAAAAAAGAAAAAATCTAATTTCTGCACTTAAAAAGTATATTTTGGCCTACTTTATCATAATATGAAAAAACACATGTAAACCTTTAGTATTTAAACACTATCCCTAAGCATTGTATTGTGTTCTAGCCCCAGTCAAGGGCAGGACGCTGCCCAAGGGACTGACTGAATTTGTAACACGAGCTAAAAATTTAAAACCTGTATCTGTGTTCCTTCTCTCATGCACATCTTAAAAGGAAACTTTTACACTCACACTTGGCATGAAAATACATTGAACTATTTATATAGTTTGAGTTAAAACAGAGGGACAAGACCAACCAGAGATAGGAATGAACACTCAGTGTCCCAACACATGGATGAATGCTTAGGCTACAAGTTTAAAGAGAGAGAAAAAAAAAGATAATACAACACATTTTAAAAAGGCTAACAACAGAGAGACAACACATATTACTTAATCTGAATTTTAAATGGTGAAATTCAGACACAGCTCAATCCCAGCAGATACTATTTTGACTTGTGCACACAGAATGTCAAAGACAACAAGCAACTTTGGTAAATATCCTGTGAAGTTTCAAAGAACGTTCATCTGTTCCCTAATCAAACAGCAAATCCAAGGAGAGATGAGAGAGTGGGGTGTGATGAGGATCCTCAAAGTGTTCCCCAAAAGATGCTGTGTCTTAGCACCCTCCTCCTGTCTGCTGCTGGTACACTTCGATCGTGTCATCGTGTTCCATCTCCAGCTGTGGGAGTAACACAGGGATTATTTTAACATTTTAAAAATAAAGAAATTATGAGAAATATAGAAAACTTGAAAAACATGTGGTGACAAAAGCACGTGGCTCTCTGCTCCTCATCAGCACTGCAGGAATAATTAACTAAGACATGAAACACTTTCCATCAGTCACCCTGCACACATTTGCTGGAACATGCTAAACTCACAGCAACTATTTCAGGATCATTTTGATTTCAAGCCCCTTTGATCACCACTCAGACACCCGAATATCTGTGTAACAATTTGCAGTAAGAGTGTTTTTCATACCTGTGCAGGTGTGTCTGCTTCTTTAATGGGCTGTCCATCAAACAGGAACATAATGTGCTTCAGTGACAAGCCCTGCAAGTTCAAAGTTATAGATGAGAAACCACACTTGATTTCTGAATGCAAACTAAGTGTTCATGGATTTACTATAAGGACACATGGTAACGAAATTAACACTCAAAAGACAAAGGGGATGACACAAGATAGATTTAGATTAGGTATTGGGAAGAAATTCTTCCCTGTGAGGGTTCTGAGGCCCTGGCACAGGGTGCCCAGAGCAGCTGTGGCTGCCCCTGGATCCCTGGCAGTGTCCAAGGCCAGGCTGGACAGGGCTTGGAGCAACCTGGGACAGTGGAGGGTGTCTTCATGGCAGGGGGTGGGACTGGATGGGCTTTGAATTCCCTTCTAACCCCAAACCATCCAGTGATTCTCTGATTAAGATTTAACCACCAGGACACTGAGCATATTTGTCTGGCTGTCTACACTGAGGGAAGGTTAGATGCTGTTAACTTTACATTACCCTTAAAACCTGAGTTACCACACTACTGAATCCTGTTCTGACAGTGTTTAATCACATGAGGAAATCTTTATTCCCTGCATCAGGGATTGAGGACCTTGCTCTGCCCTCTAAAATCCATGTGATTCACACTTCTGTCACACACAGGAATGCTAAAACTCCTGTACCTCTCCAAAACCCAGAGAGGTGTCAGGGTGCAGCAGGCACAGAGCAGGGCAGAGTGTAAATAATAATAAGCAAATAAAGGATTCAGCAAGTAACAGAAGGGCAAGGGCAAACAAAATCTAACTCCGTTTCCAAAGCCATTCACATGCCCACCCTTTGCTCTGTGTAAAACTGGGAGCTCCAGGCTCAGGAACTGAGCTGTGGGATCCATCCTTCTGTTCAGTTCAGGATGGCACCAAGGAACAGCCTGTGACACCTGTGGGACACAGGTCACAACTGTGCAATAGGCAGCAGGAGACACAGGAGGGGAGAAGGAAACAACCCATGAGAAAGCTGTGGCAGAGAATTTATTTTGTGCCGTTTTCCAAACAGAAAATGCACTCAAAGTTGATGAAGTTTTTGAAGATGACAGGACTGAGGGGTTAGTGCATTGTCTCAGAGTCAGGAATGGAACTGGAGGAATTTTTGTAACTGTCACGGGACATTAGGGAGCACCTGAGGAGGAAGAGGCAGCTTCCATTCACCAAGAAGCTGCCAGCATCCCAGCTCCTCATTCTCCCACACACCTGGACACCCCCATCCTGCCCACAAGCATGTTCCACGATCCGGGCAGAGAAGCAGCGAGGGTTCCACCAGCACGGGGATGCTTCCCCGGGGTGTCGGAGCCCTTTTGGTCCGTGGGAGTCCGCACGGAGCCTGGGGCCGTACCCTCGCCTACCTGTCGGCAGCAGTACGCCTTCATGAGCTTGCTCAGCGGAGTGTGCCGCTTGATTCTGAACTGCACCACGGAGCCGTCCTGCCCGGCAACTTTCAGGTCGATGTGCTCGTTCTCCGTTTTCACGCCTTCCTGGACGGAAAACTGCAGGATGTGGCGGGCTCAGAGCCCCGCTCGGGCCGGACAGCACCCGCCACATCCACCAAGGCCGCCCCTGCTGCCCCCGGCCGGGACACCTCGGCGGCCTCGCGCCGCGGGCGAGGCGGAGCCGCACCACAGCCGCGCCCCCGGGACGAGGAGAGGCGGCCGCTCCTCGTTCCCTCCCCGCTGTCCGCTCCTCCCCCTCCCGCCGGCTCCTCCCGTCCCGCCTTCCAGCCGCTCCCCTCCCGCCGGCTCCTCCCTTCCAGCCGCTCCTCTCCCCGCCTCACCGGAGGCTTCTCCTCCGACATGGCGGGGGGGGAGCAAGGGGGTCGCGCTGGGGGCGTGGCCAACGGCCAAGGGGCGTGGCGGGGCCGCGTGCAGGCGCGTCCTCGCTGAACCTCACGGGGGCGCTGTGCTCCGGAGCGGGGAGCGGCGTGAGGGGAGAGCCCGGGACACCCCGAGACAGCCCCGAAACAGCCCCGGGACACCCCGAGACAGCCCCGAAACACCCCGAAACAGCCCCGGGATAGCCCGAAGCAGCCCTTGGATAGCCCAAAACAGCCCCTGGACACCCCCGGGACCGCACCTTCCCGGTCACACGGCAGCTCCTGTGTGAGGGAAAACGGGAGGAGAAGCCTTCCATCAAAGCACCCAATGTCTCCAGTCCAGCCCAGACCGGTGCTGGGGTGTTCAGATCCCCCTTAAGGGGAGGAGAGGCAA